CTGGCTGCGGGCCGGTCCAGGCCGGCCGAGGGGAGAGCGAGCGCGCCCCGCAGCAGGAACACAGGCTCTGATGATCAGCCAGGGATGGCCTCCCCTTCGGCCTCCCCTCCGGCTCCCAAGGTCCTGGGGTGTCAGATCCAGAAGCAGGGGTAGAACGGAGCCTCTGACTGTGTAGACAGGGAAACTGAGGCTCAGGGAGAGCGAACTGGCTTCCCAGGGGCCTGGGCAAATCGCCGTCACTGAGCAGGCCTCACGGGCCGGAGTCAGGCTTTCTTATCCGGTTGAGAAGAAACCATCTGGTCACCAACGGGCCCCATCAGGGCGAGCGCCCAGCAGGTTGTGTGAGGCTGGAGGTACTTGTCTTCAGAAGATTCCAGTTGTTCAGGAACTCTAGGCCCATCACCTAAACGTGACCTCCAGTCCTCACAACAACCTGTAAGTATTTGGACCTTCAAAAATTAGATGTTGAGCTGAGGCCCAGAGACAGGAAGCAACCTGCCTGAGGTTGCAGTTAGCAAATGGCGGAGCCAACACTCAGACTTTAGTCTTTCAGGCTGTGCGCTTGCGCTCTGCCAACTAGGCAGCACTGCCTTTGGTTCCTCCAGAGACGGCAGAGTGCTGTATAAATGCAGCCTAGACAGGGTGGGCCTCAGAAGGCGGAGGGTGAGCCCCAGCTCTGCCTCTCCCTTTCTTTAGCGTAACCTTGGCCACCTCCTTCACCTGGCTTTCTTATCTGTGAAAGATGGTGATCAGGCCTGCCCTGCTTCCTCCCTGTGATATTCTGTAAGACATACAGCCTAGGTACTATTATTCCCATTTTACAGATAGGGAAAGTGAGACCTGTTCCTTGATTCATGATAAATGGATTAGATGTAATTTGCTGAGGGGCTTCTACAGGCCAGGTACTATGTTCCCCAAGACAGAAGCGGTTTGCCCAAGTCTGCACACCTAGAACATGGCAGAGCTGAGCCTGAAATGGACAGCAGACACTCTAATATGCACTCATTGGCCTCCTGGATTGTGGACAAGTAGCCAGAGGACTACAGTTTTCCAAATCTTGAGAAAGCCACTTGGATCCTCCTTGAGCCCAGCCCATGGCACTGAACTGATCCCAGGAATGACCCTCTCCTGGGAACTTTTGGCCTGGAACATATTTACAAAACTCTGGAGGGGATGGAAATATCCCAACCCACTCCCTACAGACCCAAATTAGCAATTTTCTTATTCTTTATGACCCCTCTGGAAATGCAAACTATGTAATATTGGTCTAAAATTAGGAGCGTAAGTCACAAGAGAGAAGTCCCACTACTTCTGGAGAGAATGTTTTCCTAGCCTCATCCCGGCATTTGTTCTAAATCAGAACACAGCAGTCGTCTTTCAAAAAATTATTTCTCTCTGAGTACTTATGGACTCGGGGCAGAATGCTTCTGAGAGAACATATTTTCACTGTACTGCCAGCTGCTGAAATCCAATCTCCTTACCTGGCCTCGAATTGATAGGGAGGCCCAGAACACTTCTGTGGACCCAGGATGCCTTCTTAAATGAAGGACACTTTAATAATAACAAAGGCAATAATGTTATCTGTAGCCAACACAGAATGACCGGTTGAGATGTGCCAAGAAACGATGTGAAGTGTTTTACAACCACTGTTACATGTAATCCTCACAATAACCCTATCAGATGGGTATTATTGTCCCATTTTACATATGAGGGTAATTAAGGCCTAGAGGTTAGTTAAGAGATTGGCCAAAAGCCATCTGGTTATAGAGCCAGTAAGCAGTGGAGTTAAGAGTTTTAACTCAAATCAGCCTAACTCTAAAGTCCACACTGGGATCTTGTCTCTCCTAACAGCTGTACTTGTCATGTGTCAGACACAGTCCTGAGTGACTTTTATGATCATCTGTAGATGGTCACAATATTTTCTCCCAGGACTTTGCTTCATCCTTTCCATTTGCTCCCCGACACAGATATTCATACTAGCCTCACGTCTGTGCCTTTGAGATTCTCTGGCTAAACTGCCAACCCCCGGTGGTGGTGTCAGCATTGGTAAGAGTATGCATGTAACCCAACACCTTTGAGGAAATTAATCCTAGAGTCCGAGGACCTTGGGCGTGTTGCTTAACTTCTCTGATCCTCAGGGTTCCCTGTGTAGTTTGAGTTGGTTGGGTCCTTTGAGCTCCAATTTTCTAGAATTCTGTGACAAATGCAGAGCCTGTCTGGAAATTGGTGTGAGATGTGCAGATTTCAATACATGGGGTAGATATGACCTCACCATCGACGCAGGGGAAGCTTGTGGTGAGGGGGATGTGAAGTCCTGACTCCTAGGACCCTCGGGAATGGGCTGTGAGGGGGAGGGCGGCAGGGCTCTTCAGCCGTGGCCGAAAGATTGTAACCTGACCCAAGAGAAGGCGGTGAGTCAGAACCTCTAGGGTGCAGGAAGAAGCCTGTGGTATGTGTGACCCCAGGGACAGAGCTGGGCCTACGAGATGGAAATCACCAAGGCCTTGGGGAGGGAGAGCCTGTCCCGGCCAGACTGCCATTGGAAGGACTGCAGAGAAGATTTGACTTTGACAGAGATTTTCCAAATTTGCAAATTCCATCATGTTCCTCTTCTGCCTGGCAGCATCTGCTGGGTCCCTACTGCCTACGAGTACTGTCCAAGGAAGCGTCTCAGGAGCATGAGGCTGTCCCAGCCCGACACTGACTTGGCCACACTCACGCTCACCCCCCACACTCGGGCCGCCCTTCCTACCTGCTGGCTGTTTTCTGAGCGCGTTCCGTACCGTCACATTTCAGTGCCTCCCCGCATCCTCTGTGGGCCCCTTTCCACACCTCTAGGCAGCTCATCACTGGGGCGGAGTCGTGAGGAGGCACTGACTTCACCAGCACACAGTGGCCCCCCGCGAGGTCAGGGCCTGGTCACACCCATCTTCACCTGCTGGCAGACCTGACGAGTCTGAGGCGGGCACCTATCTGATGAATGAGGTGGGAGCAGAGGGCACTGGAAGGTCTTTTAAACTCCTAAGATCCTACTATTTCACTTCATCCCAATAAGCATGAAATGGAAGGCCGACTGTGTACAACCACAGGGTGAGGGCCGGGGAGTACAGACAGCAGCAGTGACGATTACATAGAGACGACTGGGGGCCGAGAACCAGGACAGGGCGAGGGAAGACAGAGGTAGGGAGTGGCTGCCTAATGATGGTCCCTTGGCCTCGTAACCCCAAACTCTTCCAGCAAGCCTGTGGGAAGAGAGGAGGAAAGAGAAAACAATGGGATGACTTTGCTGGGAATGAACTCTGGTTCCTTCTCGCAGGATTTAGAACTGAAAAGAGCTCTCTTCGGGAGCACCCCCTGCACCCTGGGTCCCCAGTAGGTTGACGTGGTTGTGTCTGTGGTTCTCAGGAGCTGTCCCTCCTAAGGGGTTAGGAATCCTACATGTTTAGGGCCAGGGTCAGGACTCGCTTCTGTAACCTGACTCTTTCCAAGGGAACCGGTACCCGGGGGCCAACTTCCAACCCCGCTCACCCCGTCCTGCTTTATCAGCACTGCTCCGCTCCTCAGCAGATAGCAAGCAAGCCGGGGCCTGCCCACAAGAAGGATTCACCTCGTAGCCTCGAGGGAGCAGAGAACAAGTCCCCGGAATCCAGGAGCAACCACGTAAGTCGACAATGAAGTCTGACCCGCTACCCCTGCGGCCCTCAGTAGAGTGGATGTGGCCCCCGGCGTCCGCCCCTGAGCTCACGACGGAGCATCTGCAGGGGGACCCACTTTGCTTCCATCTCAAGCTCTTCCTCAAGAGCCCCAGTCCTCCTGCTCCTCACCCACAATTTAAAAAAGGCTGAAACCCAGGTCACCCTTGTTTCTGACCATGTCTGGAGGAACAGGGTATGCAGAGACGGCTTCTCCCGGGTGTGCCCTGCTGCCCCTGCGCTTCACATACAGCTGGGAGGTGGGAGAGGAGCCAGGTCACGTTCAAGGGAGGTGCGGGGGGCAGGGCCCTCGTGGGAGCCTCGAAATCCCCCCTCCCTTTTTTTTTTTTGGCTCTTGACCACAGTTACTTTTCTTCCTATTTTTGTTAACACAAATCCCTAAGTGTGCTTGTGTCCGGAGAAAGTGCTATGAATAACTGATGATACATTTGTTGATTAACTTGTGAATCATCCTGGGGGAAAGGGAGTCCAGGGGACGGACAGAGCAGGAGCTCAGAGGTTGCACACGATGTGTCATAAAATATGTAGCAAACGGTCGTCCAAACCACAGGGAAAAAGTCAGAGAGATGGGAATGTGAAAGCTGCCAGGATTTAAAAGCTGTTTAATGCTAACCATCAGTGCCAAAGAGCTGAGAGCAGTTCCCTTCCTCCCTGCACTGGCAGTGACAGCTCGGACAACGTGGAGAGGGTTTGGACCGGCCAAGCCGGTGCGCTGAAAGGCTCTTTGTTCGAGAAGTCTTGTAAACAAGGATCTCCTGGAGGTGGAATCCTCACCTTGTCTACTGCTTGAACACTCTCTCCTTCTCAACATCCCAAGTGGAACAGCAGTGAAGCCGCCAGCAGCTCCAAATCTCCTGCTGTTTGGCATCAAGGAAAAGAAAAAACAGCCCCATCGATGGACTGATTTTATCACTTTCCTTCCCAACGTTCTGGTGTCCCTTAGACAATGACCTCGGTCCGCTGGCCCCAAAACGACGTGGTTGTGTCTGTGGTTCTAAAGGTCTGAGCCCACACATTGTCTCCCCTAAAGGGTTAGGGGATTCTGCACGGTTAGGGCTGGGTCAGGACTCACTTCTGCAAACTGACTCTTTGGAGATCTGTTTACATCACAGCAAAGGACAAAAAGGTGTTTCCTGATATTCTGGCTTGAAAGCCTCAAATGTAAAGTTATGTGCTTCTCAGTATCAATAGCACAAGGAAAGAGAAACTAAGGGAGAAGCAGCAGGCGGGTAATTTAGGTTGGTGAAAACGATCATCCTGGAGCAGACAGACCTCGGCATCCTTCGAGGTCGTCATATGATGTGTTCCTGGGTAGACGATGCTACCGAGCTTGGTGGGGCCCAACAGCAGATCCACTAATTGTGCCAAGAAGGCCCCTGCTTTTAGGGAACACGTCATCTACTTGCGACGGAGGCAGCACGCGTGCCCTAAATGATACAGATAATTAGCCTCTGAGATCAGAAAAAGTCAGAGCTCTCTGGACAAGGTGGTCCCAGGCAGGGTGGCAGGAATGCCTGTAGCAACATTGTTCTGCATTGGAACCAGGACGTGGCCCTTCTCTCTCACGTGTGTTTTGTTTCAATTTGGTTTCCTTTTGCTGTTGTTTTTGCTGCCATTTTGCTTTCTCCTCTCCCACTCTCTACCTATCTAAAGTCCAGCACATCCTCTGAGGCCCACGTGAATGAATTTATAGTCACTCACGAATTTTCTAATCTTCATTAATCTTTACTTTGAACTCTTAACAGTAATTGGAGTCTGAACCATTTATTTGGTACATGATGATACTGTGTATTTTTATCAGCTTTTAAGAAAGATAAATCTTTTCTCAATTCAACAGCAAGTTCTTCCTGGCAGGTAACGAGTCTCAAAACACCTCTGTGTCACCCACAGTGTCCGCACTTAATACCTGCCACCAGGTTATTTGCATATATGCCCTGGTGTCCTGCTAGAGGTGCTGCTGGTGAGTGAAAATCTTGGTCGGGATTGGGGAAGAAGACTGAATTCTTGGTAGGAATAGGGAGACGCCCCAAATGAGTTCATCCAGGTTCAGAAACATATGCTCTGAGCAGTTGTTTGCTCCTGAAGTTCCCTTCTTGGTTGTGATTTTTAAAGCAGACAGAAGGTTCAGAAAAGATGTAAACTGAGTAAAAAATTAACTGGTTGAGAATGAAAATTGATCAGTAGTTCCGTTCACAATCTGATACGCGTAAGAATGAAAAGGAAGGAAGGAAGGAATGGGAAGGAAATAAAGGGAAAAAAAGCCTGGGGGGCTCCGATGAGGGACACAACAGACTCAGTTTTCAAACATGACCAGCAATTTCACGATGTGGTAATTTTTAATATTAAAAGTAAATTGTAAATGTATCTTTATAAACAATACGCATAAAATAGATCTATTATTCTAAAACCTTTTCTTTTTTCAAATGCTTTTTCACAGTAAATTTTTTAGGTGTCAGATTTTCCCTCAAAATAATAGTGCAATTGGAAGAAGGGACGCGTCAGTGAACTCGGACTTCTCGGCTAATACAAGTCCTTGTATATTTCCTGTAGGAGCGGGTGAAGACTCATGTCCGTCTCTGTTTTCTTTATGACTTGCAACAGCTGCACGTGCTCTGTCACAATCTGCCTGAGGTCTGTCATTTTCTGCAGCAGCTTGGCAAAGAGCTGAGAGGACTCGGGGTGGTTCAGCTTGAGCTGCAGCTCCAAGGCTTGCAGCAAGTTGTCCTGGATGTCCTCAATGGGCTTCACATTCAGCAAACCGGGGCGGTCTGGGGGAGCAGACATGGGAGACAGAACAGGAGGTTCAGTTACAAGATTCTCTGGCCCCACCTCTGGGGCATACGCAGCCAAACCACCCACTGGTCGGTCTTTTTGGTGGTTTTGCTTTGGTTCTAATGTAGGGTGGGGCAGGAGGGTAAGCAGATAGTAGGCAAGAACTGCAGACAAGGAGGATGGAATGAAAACCCAGAGTATCAGAGCTCTTTCCAGGGCCATTCTTTTCCTGGCCAGGATGCCATCTGTGTGACCAGCTGACAGAACATGGCGGCAAAGCAGCTCTCTCCCCAGACTGGGGACTCTTCTGCTGGCACGTTCCTACTCACTCAGAAATCTCCTGTTCAACTTCTGCTCCTTCTTGATGAGTCTATGTTTTATAACCTCTACTTACTTTCTTACCACAGCTTTAAATACACTTTTAAACTTTGTTGTCTTTTTGCTTAAGATAGCATATGCATTTTCAAAGAGATAAGACATAGTTTTCTAATTCTGTTACACTTTGTAAGGACAGACCAAATTTTAACAGAGGCTTCTTCTGACTGGCGAGGCTGCAGGTCATTTTCGCTGTCTTCTTTATACTTTCCTTATTTGAAATTCAAAGTGATGAGCTTAAATTACTTTTTAAACAAGTTTTTACGTATTTTTATTCATGTAGATCTTTTTAGATTCATCCTTAAGTACTTTCTAGTATTCTCCACTTCTTTGTCATTACAGTTTCTAATGTATCCCTGCTGATGTTTAGAAAACATTATTGGTCTTATTATATTGAATCGATTCCAATTTCCTAAACTCTTGCCAATTCAAATAGTTTTTATCATGGATTAAAAAAAAACTTTTGGATAGACAATTGCATCTGCAAATAATCAGTTTTATTTATTCTTCTTTTCCAATATTTATAGTTCTTATTTCTTTTTCTTGCCATACTGCATTGGCTAATACCACTAACATGCTATTAAATAATAGTACTGTTAGGAGACATTCTTGTTTTATTCCTAACCTTGAAGGAAATGCTTCTAATGGTTTACCCACAAGTATGATGTTTACTAGGTATGTTTTTCTCCTGGCTCTCCAAGAGTTTTAAAGTTTTTTATTTATTTTATTCAGAACGTTGTTGCATTTCATCAAATGCTTTTAAGTTTTTCTAACTAGAGTGATGACCATATGTTTTACCTTAATCCAGTGTGGTGAATTACATTAATAGATTTTCTTACACTCTTGCATTTATTTGCTAATAATTTTATTTAGGGTTTCTAAATGTGTGAGATTGGTCCAAAGTCTTCTTTTTCTGTGCTATCCTTTGCCTATTTTGGTAATAAATGTTAACTAGCCTTACAGACTGAGTTGAGAAGTTTTCCTTCTGTTTCTATGTAGTGATGACCTGTTCCTTGATGGTTTCTTGGAATTCATTTGCAGAACCATCTGAGCCTGGTGGTAAACTTTTGACTATTTTTAATTTTTGCTCTATGGCTTTTAACTTCTTCAGGCTTTTTATTACTTGTAAAGGAAAATTTTAGTAATCTACATTGGAATAAAGTTGTACATGATATTCACTTAAAATCTGAATCTCTTTTAATTATTTTTATTTATAACTCCTTTAACTGAATGCTTTTATTTGTGTATTCTCTCACTTAAAGCATCTGATTTGCCAAAGGCTTATCTATTTTTGCCTTTTCTAAAAAGCAGAACTTTTGGTTTTACTGATCAACTCTGTTTTTAAAAGTTGCATTTTGTTTTCAGTTTAGCTAATTCCTTTAACTTTCTTTAGGGTTTTTTTCCCCCTCCTTTTTCTTATTTCTTGAGTTGAACGCTTAATTCATTTAGTTTCAGTATCTCTTATTTTCTGACAGATGAGTCTAAAATTTCCTCTGCGTGTCACTTCTGTTTCTCCCCAAAGGCTTTGGTAAATCATACTCTTATTATTCTTTTCTAAACTGTCATATTATTTTGATTTCACTTTTAATCTAAGAGTTATAGAGACATGTTTTTAGAGTTCCAAGTGGAAAGTCTGAGTTTTTGTTTTTCCTAATTTCTAAGTTTGTCGCAGTGTGGTTAGAATACAAGGTTTTCTCATTAAGGCTCAGGAGGGGGGTGCAGAGTACACACAGCATTCACTCGATACCCTGCACTGGATTCCAAATTTCAGCTCTTAAAGACTGTTCACCCCCGCCTTCTCTTTTTAAGCCCTCTCCCCTTCACTGTTAACCAGAGCACTGTGTACGAGTTTCTACTTCCCTTTCCTCTAGCCTCCACTTACCATGATCCCTTTGCTCCAGCCACACTAAGCTACTTCCAGACCAAGTCCCTCAAACGCCGTACGTTCTGTCATAAGTCAGTGCTTAGGCAGATTCCGCTCCTCCTGCCGCAAGCCGTCTTACCTTCCCTTTAACCATCTTACTGACTGCAAGCTATTCTTGAAAATCCAGCCCGTGTCATTACGCCCTGGAGTCTTCCTGG